TAAAAGAGATAAAAAGAATAAAAAATATGAGGAAGACAGGAGCAGTAGTATACCCCTGCAATCCCAAGTATTTGGGAAGCTGGGGCAGGAGGATCAGAAGCCTGGGACACTCTGCAAAATCCCATCTCAAAAGTAAATAGTGGCTTACACCTACAATCTCACACTCGGGAGGCTAAAGAATCGCCATAACCTCAATGCCAATGAGCTATGTAGTAAGTTCAGGCCAGTCTGGGCTATGAGTGAAACCTTGTCTCAACAAACCAAAATAGATAAATGAAGGATTCTGGCATATTTTTAATACTTGGGAAATGTTACAAGGAGCTGAGGGTATAGCTCAGAGCCAAAGCATTTGCCAAGCATGAAGGAGACCCTGGGTTTTATCCCCAACTTCAGAGAGAGAGAAAGGGGGGGGGGGCGGCTGGCAGACACAGACAAAACACTTTGCATGCAGGGAATACACTTTCACAATCACTTTAGAAATGACTAGAAACTTAAAAATACTTTGTACTTCTAAAACGTTAAAGTTATTTCTCCAGAAAGAAAATATCTGCTTTTATGGTAGTTCAAAAGTTATACTATATAATTATAATTGAAATACTTGAAAATTTCAATATTTAAATTTTAGTACTTACCGAAAAGGTCCTGTTCTGTTAGCAGATCGAGAATCCCCCCACATCGCTATGTCAAGAAAGCCTCAGTAAGTAGTTCTTTTTTCTATCAAACTCTAGCACAGAAATACCTGTATAAAATAAACCACAAAAAATAATTATTTTAGAACTGGGTAAAAGCTAAATTAGTTAACCCTTGCTTTGTTTTCCAGAGACCAAGGGTATTTTTAGAGGTTACGTTAAAACATTTATATTGGTGAGATGGCTCAGTGGGTGAAGGCACTTGCCCCAAGCCTGACAATCTGAGTTCAACCTACATAGTAGAAGGGACCTACATAGTAGGAAAGAACTGACTCCCAAAAGTTGTCCTCTGACTTCTGCACATGTGCATGCACACACATATACATGCATACATACACACAATAAATAAATGCAAAAAATAGAACATTTATATATTAATTTATAACAAGAAAAGAAATTAGGGATTGGAGAGACGGCTCAATGATTAAGAGCATTTTGCTACTGTTGCAGAGAAGCTGTGTTCAGTTCCCAGCCTTATACTGAGCAGTTCACAACTGCCTATAACTCCAGCTCCAGAGGATCTGATACCTTCTTATGGCCTCTTCAGGTACTGGCACACATGTACACAGACACAGAAAGAAAGGAGGGAGGGAGGAATTAGGGATTGGAGAGACGGCTCAATGATTAAGAGCATTTTGCTACTGTTGCAGAGAAGCTGTGTTCAGTTCCCAGCCTTATACTGAGCAGTTCACAACTGCCTATAACTCCAGCTCCAGAGGATCTGATACCTTCTTATGGCCTCTTCAGGTACTGGCACACATGTACACAGACACAGAAAGAAAGGAGGGAGGGAGGGAGGGAAAATCTTAATTTTTTTTTTTAAATTTTTGGGGCAGTAAACTGACATGCCACCAAGTCTGACTACCTACCCATATAGTGGAAAGAACCAATTTCCACAAGTTGTACTATAACCTCCACAAGTATGCTATGGCATGCATACACCCACATATACATACACTAATTTATTTTTATGTGTGTGTGTGTTTGTGTATCACATGTGTGCAAGTGCCTAGAGGCCAAAAGATATCAGATCAGATACTTGGAGCTGGAGTACAGGTGGTTGTAAGCCACCTGATATGGATGCTGGGAACCTAACTTAGGTCCCCTGCAAAAAGCAGTAAGTGCTCTTAACCACTGAGTCATTTCTCCAGTCCCAAATTAACTAATTTAATTTTATTTATTAATTTATTTTGGTCTTTTTTTTTTTTTGAGACAGGGTCTCCCTGAAGCCCCAGCTGTCCTGGAACTCACTATGTAGACCAGGCTGGCCTTGAACC